CTTTCTTCAGCATCAGATGTTATTATGGGCATTATAATGTGAAACACAGTATCTGAAGTATTCCAGACCATTTCCTTATATTTGGCTTGAGTTTAGGAACATATTGCTGTTAGATACTACACGACTCTATATTTCTTCTGTGTGTACATCAAACTTTAAACTGCCAGAATGAAGCCACCTTCTTGGCTTTGTTGTTGGCCAAAAATAAATCATTATTGGTACATGTTTCTGGTAGTAGTTGACATATCAGCAGATGGGTTGGGCTGTGTGTCTCTCCACATTCACATAGCATTATTATCTACCAAGACTCTCCGCCAAGAGCCTCAAGCATATTGGTTTTACATTTAGTCACTCCAACTCTCAAGGGTTCTCCAAGTAGTATAAGGGAAGTCAGATCCTTCAGCCATATCCTCCTTTAATGTTATTCCTTGCTTGATGTCTCCTTCCTCCATCTTTTAATTCAATTTTGTTCTTGTGTACCCTCAAGAATGTTTCTTTCCATATAGGTCTCTGTACAATATAAGGTGAACCAAGAGAAGACAATGTCTTCTACTATAACTTTAAATATCCTAATCTAGGCGTTGTTTTAATTACTGTAAAATTATATATTATCATCTGTACAATTGTAGCTGATACATTACACTATTTCATCCCCACTCTTTTTGGTAATCTTTAGGTGGAAGAAACACAGAAGATGAAAATAGGTGATCCACTAGATAGAGCTACAGACCATGGACCTCAAAATCACAAAGCACATATGGAAAAGCTTCTGGAGTACTGCCAAACTGGAGTAAAAGAAGGAGCAACTTTATTATATGGAGGAAGACAAGTATGTAGACCAGGTGAGTAAGATCTAATATAGGAATATTAGAAGGCATTTGAATGCATTTGAAGCTTTTCCCCCCCAATGTAAAGTGGATGTTTCCAATGAAATTTGACTAAATGGAGTAACAATGGAATAGCAAAAACACTGCACCAGCAACTGGGCCACTAGATACACCAGAATCCTCCTTGGTTAATGTTGTTTTTCACCAAGTTTTTAATTTCTCTCTCTTTTTAAAATTTCAACATCGAACATTAAAATACAAACCAAGATAAAAGCAAAGGGGAATAACAAGAAAAATTAAGTGACAAAAATACATTAAAGAAGTTTAAAAGAAAAGCGACTTCTGACTTTCTTTTTAGTTCAATTATATTCAGCTGGTGACCCACCAAAATGTATGTTGTTCTTTTTACACTAGCTAATTCTCCAATTGTATTCCTGCAGTCATGGTAATATCATAAGGGTCAAGTAATTATAAAGTATATCGTGGAAGGGGTGTAGAAGAGAATGAAGGCAACTGATCATAAAATGCACAACATAATTTGTAGCTCCAAATGATCTATGACAACCTTGTTTGGAAACTAAAATTATATCGAATGGATGCGCTTGTTAAAATAATCAACTGGCTAAAAATTAAAGTCCTTGTTTATTAGCCAAGTTATATATAAAATGCATTGCTGAAGACAGATAACCTATGACCCATGTATCAAGATGGAAAATGATGGAGATTGTAACTACCCCCCTTTTTTTTTCATTAGGCTTCTTCATGGAACCTACCATATTTACCAATGTTGAGGATGACATGCATATTGCCCATGAAGAATCCTTTGGGCCAGTGATGATCATTTCCAAGTTCAAAGATGGGTAGGTTCTGTTCCAATTAATGTCACTGTTGTTGCTGCAGCTTTTCAAACCCAGGATCCTTGCAAGTAATAGTCATCTGAGAAGAGCAAATTAGCCTGCTTCACTCATTTTCTCCATTGCAATTTACATCTTGGAGGAAAATTTATGTGAGGTAGATTCCTCCCCTAATTTGGAATCCTGTACCAGCGTGGTGGCTCATGAGGTTAGGATCCTGGGCTGATGATCGGCAGGTTCACGTTTGAGAGCTGGTTGCTTCCACAAGGCAGGGTGAGCTCCGGTCACATGGTCCAGCTTCTTTTGACCCAGCAGTTCAAAGGTGGCAACCACAAGTAGATAAATGGGTACCACTTTGGTGAATAATTTAATGGGGTTGTGAAACGAGCCCCCAACTAGGCATCCCCCAGGCAATGGTGATGTCACTGTCCAATTCTTTCAACCCAGAAGCGCTTCAGCACAAATGTAGTAGTATTTGGAATCCTATTTAATTACTACTGATGTTCTTTCCCAGTTGATGACCTTAAGAATCATGCAATTGTTAATTTTGTGAATTAAATAGTATTGTTACATCCCTATATTCATTACATATATTCTAGCCAAGTCTCTAAAATACTTCACAAAAATATCAGATTGGATTTACAGATGATTCTAAACAATGTTATGTTTTAACCATATTTCAGTGAAAGTTCAGTGGCTGGTTTGCAATTCCAGACAGTTATAGAATATAAATAAACTACGATTCCTAAACTACATGCTTGAACTGAAATATATTTTATTATGGCTTAGCACTATATAAGAAGAACACAATGTATGCTACAAAATCTGAGGATGAAAAATAATGGAGTAATAAATTTTGCATCTTTGGTATGTTTTATGCTGTCTATATTTTAGATGTTTCTTTATTGTCACAGAGATGTTGATGGAGTGTTAGAACGAGCCAACAGAACAGAATATGGTTTGGCTTCAGGTGTTTTCACCAAAGACATAAGTAAAGCACTATATGTGAGTGACAAACTGGAAGCTGGAACTGTTTTTATTAACACTTATAACAAAACTGATGTGGCAGCACCATTTGGTGGATTCAAGCAGTCTGGTTTTGGAAAAGATTTAGGTAAGCAGCACTTCATATTTTCTCTCTAGATTCCAATTATATTTACAAAGTGACATGTATTAAAGGCAAGAAATTTATCACCTTCCAGAACTGGTTGGCTCCTATTCTGAATCAACACGAAGAACCATGAATGATGGTTTTTGTAGTGTAATGGCAAAAAAATGATTGTTATAGACTATTTGTTCTCTAGTACAATGTGAGCTTTGTAATGGAGCAATTCTCAAAATGCATTTGAAATAGAGTGGTGCTTATTCTACCCTTAAAATCAGAGCACACATCCAATACTGTAAATTGCAGCCTGACAATCCCATGAGAAAAGAACATGCAACTTAGAATCTGTTGCAAAATGCAGGGTTCTTTTACAGTATAGGCAATCTTTTAACATCTTAAGCTGCACTTAAAAATGATTTTGGTCCATGGAGGAGGTATAAGGTTGTAATTCTGCCTATTCATTCACTCCCTGCCAGCCAGACATATAGGCTTAATGATCTGTTGTAAGGCACCTTCTCAAAAAGGTGGGAGGATTCAGACAAGTGCAAAAATAGGAACTGGAGAGGCTGCATTGGCCCAAGGACTACTGTCTGTCTACCTTTGCTGTGAATTTCAAAGCTTAAAATCCTGTTCCAGTCCTTTCATTAATTGTTTAATGGCCATGTTTTTATCTAGCAATTATTAATTGTCTACCTTAAGTATCATTTTTTAACAGAAAATGCAGGCATGGGTAGTATTAACAGGGTTTGGGGGGGGGGGGGTTAATATGCTTCATCTTCTAACTACCTCCCCAGGGTACCTCCCACCAGCCTGATCTTCCCAGAGCCTTCCATCTCATCCTTCCCCTCCTAGGAACTCAAACATACAATATGCACATATCACATTGGCCTGTTCAGCCTTCCTAATTTCCCTCCAATCTTCAGTATATATACAATAGAAGGGTATCTCTTGTATTGCCTTCTACTAAATTAATGTATTTAATTTAGGCTATCTCTTGTGTTGCCTTCTACTAAATCTCCATTATACTGAGGGTTTACTTGGTTTTAAGTTAAGCTTTTTGCAAACACTTCCACTGTGAGAAACTTTGCACCCTTGGAGACTCCAACTAATGCAGACTTTCTTGTTCTTTTAGGTGAAGAAGCTCTTAATGAGTACCTGAGAACAAAAGCTGTAACCGTGGAATACTGAACAGCTAAGCCAAGAAGCTCCATTCTTCCTCAGACTCACAGCAACTACAGGATTACAAACAACAAAGTAAAAAATGCTTCGTGGCATGAACATGCCAACCAGTGTCTCAGTGCAATGATCCAATTAAGAACATTTGCATTTATTCACAATGGGATTCCTCAGAGGAGTTCAACACTTGCTACAGATTACTGTGATCATAAAGTATTTTTTCCTGTAGCTATCATGTTCTGCTCCATTTGTTGACATTTAGGGCTACCTAAAGGTGAGACAGAAATCTAAAAACCATCAAATTTCTGATATTTTTGTCTCTATAAACCCTTTACTTAAGTTGGAAACATGCTATAATTTTTTTTAATTTGTCCTCAGTTACCCTGTGAGTCTTGGCCACTTTACACCAGCATCATACTTTTTTCCTGCAATAAGCATTTTGCATTTTTGAACTCAGAAAACCAGTTCACCATAAACATGGTTTATGTACCCAAGGAAGTGCACTTATTATGAATCTGTACAATAAAGAATTGAACATCTGTGTTATTCCCCTAAATAAAATAAAAAAAAGTTGTAGAACTATTTTGTAATCTGTTTGCCAATGAGTTGTATGTGATCTCTAATTGTGGGTGCCAATTACATTAAATAAATGCTTTTTGGATGTCCTGTGGTATTTAATGACCTAGTACTGCATCTGTAAGATAATCTCGCTTGCTCTCTGATACATTTACAATGCTCTGAAGTCAAAGGTCCCCAACCCCCGGTCTGTGGCACCAGTCCACGACATCCCAGGGAAAAAAAGTGACGGACCAACCAAGGGATGCAGGCAACACAAAAAACCATGCTCACTTGGGTCCACGGAAAAACTTTCTCCACAGAACTGGTTCCTGGTGCCCAAAAGGTTGGGGGCCACTGTTCTAAGTCATACAATGCATATTAAGTTTTGATTCAGGGGAAAAGTGTGAACACAACCATTCTGAATTATTCAACAAGATATGATTAAAGCCATGGATTAATACAATTTGTAAAGACAACCACCCAGGTTTTGAATGTATTTACTACTTGCAATTGCAAAATATTAATTGAAAACGATGTACAACATTGTGGTATTAAATACAGTGAACAGAAAGATAAGACTACGGTAATGTTCATCTCAAAACAGATAGTTGCTCTATCTAAACAGAAAGATATTTTGCATTTGTATCTTGTGTGTGAGCTTTCCAGGAATATACCGGTACTATGGAAAATAAATAGAAAATTTGGGTGGGTTGTGCAAGGACACCTAAATTTTATTTATATTTATGTATTACAATTATTATCAACTCAAATCAATACACTGCATGATGGTCCTGTTCCCTGAAGGTTATGGACCATAATCTACCATGTACAGTATAGGGCTATTAATTATTGCTAATGTTCAGCCAATTTTTTCAGAATGTTCAGCCAATTTGACTTTTCATGACAAACATTCCTGATTTGTATCCAACCCCATTTTCAGTAAGCAATAACAGCTCAAATATTTATTCAGAAATAAGATCTTATTCAGTGTAATGTATGCTCCAGTAAGCAATAACATCTCAAATATTTATTCAGAAATAAGATCTTATTCAGTGCAACGTATGCTCCAGTAAAAATGCATAATCATAACAAATTGTCCATAAGAATAAAACTAACATCAGTTCAAACTGGCATTATCTTGCCAAGTTGATGCCTTTTACAGTATAAAGCAAATGCGATGCACCTTAAAAATTCTTTTTTATTCTATTTAAATAATATTTATGAGAATACAAGGTATATTTTAATTTCAAAGATGTAACGTGATCTCAAACTGGCTGGGATTATAAACTCCCAATTGGATTTGTAGCATATTTTGGACCTTAAAAATATACTGGATTCCCAATGGCATTCCTCATTCTCCCTTATGAATGCTGCTTATCAACAAAAATATCTTTCAGTCTAACACACTTCTTTCACCTTGACCTTAAAGGACAGTTTACGCAAGGTGAGTAACCTTTGGCACAAACAAATGAGCTTGAATCCCAACCAGACCTGGGAGTTGGGAATATAGTTCATTTGGAAGGCCATTACTATTAACATATAACAGTGGGTCACCAGCCCAAATACTTTGTCATTGAAACAATCTAGAGTAAATGATCTGTTTCCCAAAGATATTTTCATTGGTCTCTATGTAACCCAAGAGTTGGTATTAATAAGTAATGTTATTACAGATTAAATTAAAGATAGTTCATAGCTATTGATGCTTTTGTTTCTGTCTGGTCCAATTATTCTTTCTGCTTTTCCCTCAATTTTATAATGAAATCCTTAATTTCATTTGACTTGATAGCAGACCTACAACAGATTTTTTTTACACCTCTCCACATATTAAGTACACAAGATTATTAGTACACAGCACAACGAACATGAGGATTACATGTAGATATTGAAATAGCAGGAAAATAAGGCTAATTCACCTACTCAGTTTTTACTGTCCAACATTTCTATCCGTCCTTCTCTTTTTGACAAGGGAAACTTAATATTTTCTTCAGTAACTTCTTCACAGGTAGAGGTCTCCTCACATTCTGAATCATCTTCTGATTCTGTTGTATCACAGTCATTCAGTTCTACTAAGGCCACATTCTGTCATAATTTAAATAAAATGAAAGTAAGATAATAAAATGAAAGTAAGATAATATTAAGGGCACAATGAGAATGTAAATGTACATCAGATTCAGTGCTGAAAATCAAAAGCAGTTAATTTTTAGTTTCAATTATCATTATCTTAAGACTTAGAAAATATCTCAACAGCAGTTCCTAAACTATTCCCACAAGTACCAATACCAACGAGTAGGAGTCCCAACTACCATGTCCAATAGGCATGCTCACAAGGTCCCCTTTATTAAAGTACCATTTTGTAAGACCAAGATTTGCTTTCTCTATTGTGGTCCTGTCTATGGAACAGCCTTCCCTGGCCTTCTTGGTCTTCCAGATAGCCATAAGGACCATGCTTTTCCCCAAGTATTAAGGCCAAGTGTTAAGGGAACCTAATATACACATGTGTATTTGGTGAATTTGTTGATGTCGCCTCCATTTTTCTATGTATTGGATTTTTTAAAACTTAGTTTAGTTATGGCATTCTATTTATAGGTGGTCCTTAAATTACAACCATTTGTTTAATGACTGTTCAAAGTTCCAGCAGCACTGAAAAAATCAGTCGGTTTTTGTACTTATTGCAGAAAAAGTACTTGTGTTGCAGAATCTCCACAGTCACGTAATCAAACTTTGAATGCTTAGCATCCAGCATGTATTTAACCTGGTTGCAGCGTCCTGGATCCTGGGAGTGTCACTTGTAACCTTCTTAGGGAGCTTCTGACAACCAAAGGTAATGAGGCCACATTCACTTCATAACCTCATGATTCACTTAACAGCTTCGGTGATTTGCTTAACTTCCATGGCAAAATGTTGTAAAATGGGACACAACTCACTTAACAACTGTCTTACTTAGCAATGGAAATTTTGGATTCAATTGCGGTCGTAAGTCAAGGATTCATCTACTGGTTTTAGCAAAATGATTGCTTTCTGCCCTGAGTTACCTATTTAAGATGGTCAACCATTTAAGACGGCCGGCCAGAGAAATAGCTTAAATAAGGAGACTATTTGCATGGAAGCCACTGACAAAGTCTTTGTTTATAGCCAAGAAAAAGCAGCTAGATGGATCAGAGGTTGAAAACACTTACAAAACAATTGCTGAAAACAAAGCACCATAGAGCCAGTGGCTCTCATCTGCTGCTTAGGCAAATGTTCTGGGCATAAGTTGGCTATCTCCATCAACAAGGAATACAAGATTAGTGTTAAAAGGAATTTTGGAGACAATGTAGTCAAAGTCTTTCATAGAGGAAGGTGCTAGCTGCAGCAGTCCTCCTAAATCTGAGACTCTTTTGGATGTCTGGTGTATCATATTAAAACTTCGTGACAAAGCTTTTCCCTGATTGGGCTGACAGGGAATTTTGAGAAATATAACCGTCAAACATCTGGATTGCATATGGGAAAGAGTGCTACTCTGAAACTTTGCCTGAAAAGTTTGATATGCTTAATTGAAAATTTTTATGACATCCATGCCCTTGGCCTCCTAGAAACATGGCTTTCTCAGGCGGGTTGTGGAGAGTGTTATAGAGCAATGCAACTTCTATAAATATTCTAGCTTTGTAATTTTAGTCTTGATTTTAATTTTAAAAAAAATTGTACCAATTTAAATACTTAAAACAGTATAAGCTGTCTTCTATCTGGCTAGTTTCAGGGGTCAGATGAATTTGATAAATAAAAAATTACTTCAGTAATAGCACAGAAGTCAATTTCAACAAAAAAATGATAACATCCAGATATTATTATGGATAATAGTTTTTGAAGAGGTCTAGACACTAAACAACAACAAGAAATCATTCTACTTTGGGTATACCAAAGTATACCAAAGGGGGCGTGCATAAGCGCACCAACGTGCCTACCGTCCCTGTCCTATTGTTTCTCTTATTCTTTTATTTTTCTTATATGTACCCATTTCATGTATTCACAACTATGTATACATTTATACTTATTATCTTGTAAACAATTGGCAAACCAAATAAATAAATAAAATAAATAAATAAATACCATAAACACAAATGTATAATGCTCTATGCCAAGGAATTAACTAGAAACAAAAATATATTCACCATTTCAATTATTTTTTCCATCGAAGGTTCTACATGTTCAATGTCAAACTCTTGGCTAGGTTTGCTGTCCATTTCTCTTCTCAGCTGATTATTTGCACTAGCCATCTGGGGTAGAAAATTCTGCACCTTATCCAAAACTAATGTACAGAAATGTGTTTATGAAGACATTAATATTCTTCTAAGCTTTTAAAGAATTAAATTTAAAGAATTTAAAAAACATCACTGGTGAGGGTAGGAGGAACATAGGGACGGCCAGCAACACCCCACATATAGGGAATGAAAATAAACATAGAAAATATAGAAAGGCAGTGCTAAATATGCTATTAATCAATTGCCGTATTGCAAGATAACATTATTATGAAAGGTCTAAATTTCAAATCCATCTGTATGTAAATAACGATGCTATATAAAAATATACTTCATTATATTTCGTTTAACCACTACTGTTGAGGAGCTGAGAACCCAATTTTAATGTTCACTCTCTGTTCTGCATAAATAATAGAAAAATGCATGGTTCATCTCAAAGATCTCCATGTATATTTAAGCTTTAAATCCATTGACATTCTTTAGGATACAGCCCCTCCTGCCAAAAGGCAAGACTTCATCTATGATTATTATTTTCTAACATACATATATAATTCAGGAAAGGCACAATCCTCAGTGCTTTTTAAACTTGTCTACCTTAAAATGGGTGGACTTCAACTTCCAGAATTCCCCAGCCAGCACACCGGGTAGAAAATTCTTGGGAATTGAAGTTCACACATGTTAAAGTTGCCAAATTTGGAAAACACTGCTCTAAGTCTTAACTCACTAGTAAAAAAATAGATATACTTACTGTTGCTCCTGGGCAGCCTGGTTGTCTGTAAGGTTGTGTCTTTCTTTTTGGTATATTTTGGACCAAGCAAAAGTGTTTCGCTGATACCTAGAAATCCAGAAGACCTTCTTCAGTTGAAAAGGCACATACTGTTGATTTTACTAGTACATTATTTCCCTCTATAGGCAGCTTTGCCCTCTACTGCAGATTAGATGATGCAAATAAATTGATGCAAATCAGTTCCTTCGAGTTGTGGGAACTGTGAGAAGCATGGTACTTTTTTCAACCCCATGCACTGCACAAACCAAATATTATAATATTGTAGATATTTAGTATAAACTTTTCAGACTATTGTGCCTTTCAAAAGTGGAAAGCACTAAAGCATTCTCATCGACATTTAGCAAGCATTAAATATATGAAACGATGAAGTGAGAAAGTCGAGACAGAAAGATCTTTTTTTCAGGCTCAAACTCTCATTCTTTCACTTTTAGCACTTTTAACATGTTCGAGTTTGCAAAAGAGTTGCACCTTATTTTTATGAAAATATTTGTACGTGATGTTCATTTATTCGCGCAAGATCTCACGAATACAATGTCCCTACAGGACTTTTATTTATTTATTTCCTTTTGGAAGTTCAAGAATACAGAATCTGGAAGCAACGCAACGAGAGGGGGAAAAAAACACGTTACAGGTATTGCAACGTTTCTCAAACTTAGCAACGTTAAGATGTGTGGACTTCAACTCCCACAACTCCCGAACCAGCCATTGGGAATTGTGGGAGTTGAAGTCCACACATCTTAACGTTAGCCAAGTTTGAGAAGCGCAGGGTTAGTGGGAAAGGACGAGACCAGGAAGAACGGCGTTCGTTCCTTGCCCTGTGGCGCCTCTCTTTGAACACATTCACACCGCCAAGTTACCTCCTCCGCCTCCCACGGAAAGAAGCACCCGAGATATCTCCGGACCGTCGTTGCCATTGCTCTGCGCCATTCAGCCCAATATGAGCCTTGCTCGCTGTTAGCAAAGCGCCCCGCCTCCAAGAGGAAGCCAGAGCACGCGGCCGGGAACGGCCAAAGGCAGAGTGGCTTCGCAAGCGTAAACAGCGCCCCCTAGAAGCACAGAGGACCTTCATCAGGCTCGAAAAGACTATGGGAAGTCTTATATCACAGTAAATTTGATTAGATTAAATTAGATTAACAGAGTTGGAAGGGACCTTGTAGGTCATCTAGTCCAACCCACACCCAATATTCTCTCACATAGTTTCACATTTCACCTTGTATTTTATTTAAGTTATGGTAGCCGTAATTTTCTTTTACAGATTCCAAGAGGCAGTTTTGTGTCTCAGTTACAAGCGACTACCCAATACCTGTCCTGCAGAGTTGTTACAATTTAGACTTAGAACTTTATTGTCACTTCGAATGTGCACTAATCGGCCTACGTTAAAATGAAATTTTGTTGCATACAGCTCTCAATGGGTCTCCACTACAATGCCATTCTATAGATGACCCCACACAATCAAGCAATGTATTGATAATTGTCAAAAGTATATCATATCCCATACTGAGGGTTTCTTTTTTCTTTTTTATAAAGTTGTATTAATTTTCTACTATTATATTTGATTAGTGCTTAATAAACATTGTGTTGTCTGGGTTGTTTTGTTATAGGCATAGTACCAGAAAAAATTGATAAACCAAGTCTATATTTAATATTGCATGTATTAACAGCAGCGAGGACTATATTTGCGCAGCATTGGAAAAATGAAGAAATACCACTAGATGAAGAGATAATTAAGAAGATATTGACTTCCGGTTTGTCGGCTTCGCGAGCGGCAGGGATTCGCGATACTGCGCGATCCCTGCTGCGCTAGCCGTTTTTGGTGCTCCGATCCGGACGAGTTTGGAGCTAAGGCTGCCCTGCAGGGGTGGCTGAAGATAGGGGGGATCCGGAGAGGGGTTTGGGGGTGTTGCAGACCCCCCTCCCCGGCCGGCAGAACCCCCTTTTCCCAAGACGGTGCAGCGGCGGTCCGTAATGGCCGCCACAAAGAAGCCGGCAGCTGGGCAAGAATGCGCAGGAGGAAGAGGAGAAAGCTTTTGAAAGTGAAGGTTTTCTTGGTTGACCCAGGACTCTAAGACATATTTAATATAATTCCTGGAAATTATGGCTTTTTGAATGACTCTTTCCAGAAGAGAAAATAAGCGGCAATTTTGAGGTGCTGAAAGGAAAGTTTACTCTCCTTCCCTACGGAACTAACAAGTGGATACTGAGAAACCTGTCTTTTTCAGGTAAAAACTGGCATTATGTGATAAGTGGGAAGGGAGAGGACAAAAAATATATTTATATGTTAAGATTTTGTTGGAGGAGATGCCTTAAGGATTTGAAGACTGAAATGTATTGCAATAAGGCTTTAAGATACAGATTTGGACTTTCTTTTTTTGATTGATACTACCCCAGGAAGAGAAAGTGAGAACTCTGTCTTGGCTTGGATTGATTGATGACTTTGGGATTGTTCTATTTTTTGAAATATCTTGGTTGTTCCAAGAAGAAAGAGGGGGGGAAAAAAGAAAAGAAAAGATTTATAATGGCTTTTTCTGTTGAGGAACTGAGAAAAGAATATGAGCAAACAAAAAAAGATGGCAAAGATGGTCTGAAAGAAGCCTTCCTTTTTTTAGAAATGGTGCTTGCTACCTATCAACAAACACTACAACAGATGGAGGCAGCAGAAGAAGAAGAAGAAGCCATCTTTAATGAATTTCAAAATTTAACTAAGAAAGAAGGAAGAAAGAAAGGAAGGAAAATGAAGGACTTAAGATTTAAAAAAATACTCAAGAAAGAGAAAAATAAGGTGCAAAACCAATATAATGATAGTAAACAAAAGAAAAAAGGAACACAACAGAGAAGGGAAGCTAGTAAGGCAGAGGCTAGGAGAAGGGGGGGGGTAGAAAGGTCTGGTGGGAGAAGAAAGAAAGGGAAAAGGTGGAGAAAAGCCACAACATTTTGAAATCAGATGGGAAAAGAGGAATCTTTTTTAGAGACAAAGGGTAAAGTATAATTTCTTTAAAAAAGATTTTGCAAGGTACATAAGATGGTATTGTAGCATTTGTATTAGAAATAGAAAATTAGAATGGTTTAAGAGTTAATAAGAGATTAAAATGTTGAAATGTTTAGTAATGATTGATTTTAAAATTTAATAAAATATTAAAGGGAATGTTTAGAATATTGAGTTTTAATTAAAGAGTTTAATATGACTATGGTATTGATGTTATTATAAAATTATTATTGTAGCATTTGTTTTTGGAAAAGGCAATGGGAATGTTATAAGATTCAATATTTAGATCTATTATTTAACTATGTATTTAATCATTTTGGATTTATTATTTTTTTTATTAAAAAAAAATTAGTAGATAGAATGTACCAAGCAGAATCAGATTGGGTATTAGGTGTTATTTTAAATGTTAATCTAATTAATTTAGGGGGAAGATAGAAAGGCATCATACTCTGATTAGTGATTTCAGGAGAAATTCTTTTTTTATTATTATTATAAGGAATGAGACAAAGGGATAATAAAGAATGGACAAAAGATACAAATATAATGACTCAAATTAAGATGGATTAAATAAGATAGAATTAAGAAGAGTGAAATGTGTGGAGAAGCTAATATAGAAGACATAGAATGGTAAATAAAATAGGTAATGACATGTAAGATGAGCATGAATATAATTGAAGTCCATGTAGAGAGAGGTACCTGGGGCCAAGTTACTTTCCTAAAAGATTTTTTATATGTTTGTGTGTTGTGTGTTTATGTTTTTGGGAGAACTAATAAAACCTTGCAGAAATATAGAATGAGAATAATGGTAACCAAGTCAGAAAGAAATAGATGAAATAATAATAGTGAAATTGAATAAGAGTAAAGAGAAGTAAAGAGAAACTGGATAAGAGGTATTTGTATGCTCATATGGAAATGGTTTAAAATAGAATTATATTGTATAAAATAAGGTTTTATTTGACTTATAAAATTTATAATGGAAAAAGGTTCAAGTATGTAATGGTTAATGATGATTTGTTTGTCTTTAAAATTAATAAAATTTGTTTTAAAAAAAAAGAAGATATTGGACTATGCAGAAATGGACAGACTTACACTGAAGATTAAACAGAAAAATGATACAAAATACTATCAAACAAGGAATTTATTTTATCAATGGCTGAAAAAAGGGGTAAAGATTAGGAATATAGTTTGTGTTAAGCAAACAAAACAACCCATATCCAGGGTTTCCATCAAGCCCCCAAGTACTCCCTATTTAGATTTTTAAAAAAATCTAATTTAAAGAAAAATCTGACAGTTTACTCAAAATTTTTGTAACAGTTCTAATAAATATGCTATCTTCTTAATATCCTCCCAAAGGATAGGAAGAGTATTGATACTTTTGAACTTTGGTGTTGGATAAGATTCCTGAGAATAGCATGAACATCCAAGAAAACAAACCAATGGGTCCCTGAACAAACCAGCCAGAATTCTCACTTGAGACACAGAGCATCAGGTTCAGACTATCCTACTTTGGACACATTATGTGAAGATCAAGCTCTCTGAAGAAGCTCTTAATTCTGGGAAAAGTGGAAGGAGGAAAAAGAAGATGACAAGCAGGTGGATCGACTCAGTCACCGGGTTAATAAGTGCTTCATTGGAAGACCTGAAGGACAAAGGACAAATAGTTATGGAGAAAATCTATTTATGTGGTTATCAAGATAGACTGGAGGGACATGGTGGCTCAGCGGCTAAGACACTGAGCTTGTCAATCAGAAAGGTCGGCAATTCGGTGATTTGAATCCCTACCGCCGCGTAACGGAGTGAGCTCCCATTACTTGTCCCAGCTTCTGCCAACCTAGCAGTTTGAAAGCATGTAAAAATGCAAGTAGAAAAATAGGGAGCACTTTGGTGGGAAGGTAACAGAGCTCCATGCGCCTTTGGCGTTTATGCCGAGTCACATGACCGAGTCATGACGGCCACATGACCACGGAGACATCTTTGGACAGCGCCAGCTCTTCGGCTTTGTAATAGAGATGAGCCATAGCCAGAAATGACTAGCATGTATGTATGAGGGGAACCTTTACTTTACCTTTTACAAGAGTTGACAATGGTTTTAGTGCCCTTTAATCAAGCAATCCTCTTGAAATGTGTGCTCTATAATTACAAGATTGTAATAGTGTGATTGCAACTATTAGATAGATCTTTTCCATTTAATTTTTTTTATGTAATATTTCAATAAGGTCACCATTATCTCATCAGAAATCATTTTTCCTTGCAAATTTATATTTAATAGGCAAACTTGCTACTCAGTTTAAACATTCTTTTTTGTTTCCCTGTTTAACACTGTTACTTTGAGTGGCTGTGGGACTGTTGGAACATCGTTCCCATTCTGAAATGTAGAGTGCAAACCAGCAATATAGGATAACAGGTAATTTCTCCCCAGGTCTTTACATCATCCATGGGGTCCCTATCCATTTATTTGACATTTTATCCTTTTTATCAGCGGCCTGCTCTTTCTATGTGTGCACATGGAAGCTATTTCTTGAAAGAGCCTGTCATACACACAGAACATCCCTCAGACCAGGGGTGTCAAACTCGATTTCATTGAGGGCCATATCAGCATTATATTTGACCTCAGGGATGGGGGTGGTGGCCAGGGTGGGTGTGGCCAGCTCGACATCACTCGTGTCGGGGTTGCCTGTGATGGCCTGAGCATTCTGCCAAAGAAAACGGCTCCCAAGCTCTGTTTTAAACTGCGACGGCCTCCTACAACCCTCTGCCAGTGAAAATGGAGCTCAGGAGGGCCCATCCACAGCCCTCCCAAGCTCCATTTTCACTGGCAGAGGCACTGCGGGATGGTCCTTTGCTGTTTCCAGGGTGGCCTTGCGGGCCAGATCTAAGCACCCTGCAAGCCAGATACAGTCCCCGGGCCTTGAGTTTGACACAGGGGTGGGCTTCAAAAATTTTAGCAACAGGTTCTCTGCCCGGTTGCTGGGTGGGTGTGGCCATGGTGGGTGTGGCCT